TGGCAATTTACAATTTACAAATAATGAGACATGGTTTTTGAGGAAAAGAAAATAAAGTTATTATTCATCGGACAAAGAGAAGGATGTGGACAGTTAACCTCTCAAAGCTCTGTCATGCCACTTCAGAGAGAAAAGGTCCACTTTTTTTTTTTTTTTTTTTTTTTTTTTTTGCGGTACTAGGGTTTGGATTCAGGGCCTTGGCTTTGAGTCACTTCACCAGCCCTACTTTTGTGGCTTTTTTTTTCAAGATAGGATCTATTTTGTGTTGAGTTTTTTCGAGATAAGTTCTTGTGAGCTATTTGCCTGGGTTGGCTTCAAACCGTGATGCTCCTGATCTCTACCTCTTGAGTTTGCTTGGATTACAGTCGTGAGCCATGGCCACCCAGCTAAATGTCCACTTTTTAAAGGAGAGTTCAAGGGCTCAGTTGACTACGTAACAAGACACATGTCCAGAGTGGCTGCTGGTCTTGGATCTCCAAGTGCCCTGGAGTCATATTTAGAAGCTGTATGTTGGCTGACAGGTTTGCTATTCTGATGGTCAGAGAGAGAGAGAGGGGGTAGAAGATTACCTGGTTTAACTAATGAGTTAATTAACTCATTAACTTTGGAGAACCCAAAGTTAACTCCATGTAGACAAAGGAGGAAAGAATGTCAGTTTAATTAAAAACAGAGTAAACCAGCCAGTATGCAAGCTGGGCACAATCAAAAGTTTTTTCCCTTTGTAATCCCAGTTACGTTTTCCCTACTGTCCATTTATTCCTTTCATTTCTACTGAAAAGAAGTGTTGTAATCATCTAATTGTTTCCTGTCTTTAGTTAATCCTGGGCCCAAGTAAGGAGTCAGTGCCCCTCAGCAAAAGCAGCTTTTAAGGTCCCATTAGAGAAGAAGGTGACTATCACAGTCCCTGAGAAGCAGGCTAGATAGCATTAAGAAAATCCTAAATAATGGGGAGCAGAGAGTAGTATTTCATGGTGTTTTCAGGCTAACACAGGAGCTCAACATATATTTGCTACATTAATGACAGAATGGAAATCTAAAACATGCTCTCCAGATACAAGGGGCTGAAGTTCCTTTTGCTGACTGAGGTGGGAAACATGTCCCCAGTGAGGGTGACTCTTAGAGGCAGCCTGGCCAGCCATTCCTGCTCCAGACACTTTCCCCATTTACTCAAAAGCTGGTAAACACAGGCCCAGATCCTCCTCTCCCCTGCCAGCGAGGTAGTGATGGGGTATCCTTTCCCCAAGTCAGAAGAATGGGAGGCACTGGTGTGTATAATTTCCATGAAGTTAGCCTTGGGCTTTCCCAGACTTTGGGCACACTGTAGTGATTTTGCTTTCATGTTCCAAGGAAATTCTGCTTCCCTTTCTGGGAATCCTCAATTTCTGCCAATTATTTACTTATTTTTCTACAAAAAGGTCTCTTTTCCCTCTCTCCAATGCAAAGAAGTAACATGGTCCAGAACTTGGGTTCTGGTCATCCTATAAGTCTGGGTTTGCATCTAGGTCTTTCCATCATTTACTGTCTGTTACCTTGTTGACTATTACAAGAGCCAGCTCTTCCCCTGTGAAATGGAGGAAATAATGCCCATCTTGCAGGTATATTGAGTGAAAATACACACAAAGTACCAACACGCAGACAACTGCAACTATTGTGGTGCCAGCCATCAGGTAAAGTGTTCAAGAGACAGAGGCATGAAAAGTTCAGGATAGCGACTCCCCTCACACGTAGGCTCTTTATTTAAACACTCTATCAAAAAGAACATGTTAGCTTATGGGCAGCCCCAAGAGAAAGGCATGCCATCTGGCAGATACAAATGTCAGTTTTCTAGAAACACTTTCTTTTGTAATAGAGCAAAAATTAATTCATCAGGTACTATCAAAGCTTAAATGAAATTTCCTTTAAAAATTGGGAAATTCCAGGGATGGGGGTGTAGACCAGTGATACAGTATACTTGCCTGTTGTTAATGAGGTCCTGGGTTCAATCCCCAGCACAGCAAGCAAAATACAAAGCAAAACAAACAAAACAAAAACCCCCTAAACTTCACACCTCCCAATTCCTGTTTAGACTAAGGAAACAACTGGTTAGGCACACAAAGATGTTATGCAGAAAGATGGTCACTGCAATTTTTGTAAAAGTAAAGCTTGAAATCAATTTAAGTCATAACTACAGAGGATTACAGGATTAAGTAAATTATAGTAATTATTTACAATAAAATCCTACCTAGCTATTAAGAAGATCCTATAGAAATATATCTCTTCATCAGTTACTTTCTGAAGTAGTTTGAGGTCAGTGACAGAGTCCAGCCAAGGCCAAAGTCAAAAGTGCAGAAGGTTACAGTGGAGCCCATCAACTTCATCTTTGGGTGCTTGCAAAATCGATTCTGAATTCAGGAGTGGCTGGATTCAATAGCAGGTAAATGGCAGCTAGAGGGCGGTGTCCCTACTTTTGATGAGTTCATGGGCCTCATATCAGCTGATGCAGAAGAGATCCATTCTAAAAGAAAGTCAATAAAACAACTGAGTTGTATCATGCTAAGAAGGGATATTACTCTGCTACAAGTGTCTCCAACTAGAAATGACACATGAAGTGAGAAATGTTGAGATGAGGTTTGTTGTGGTGCTGGGAATTGAACTCAGGGTCCAGTACACGTTAGGTAAGTAAGTGTTCTCTTACTGAACTACACACCCAGCTCAAGTTTTGGGTTTTTTCCAGATGTTCTTTGTGGAGCATACAGTATTAAAACATTTTTCATATTAATTTGATTAGCCTTTTATTACCAGAAGATAATAAATGTGGGTTTGCTCTTTATTTTTTTTAAAAAAGGGCTGGGGGCCACAGAGATAGTTTAGTGGTACAGTGCTTGCCTATCACACGTGAGCCCCTGAAGTGAGGGGGAGAGGAGGCTTGTGGATGTAGAGTAGTGGTAAGAGTGTTTCCTAGCATGTGTGAGGCCCTGGGTTTGAACGCCAGCACAGCATGCACGCGCGCACACACACACACACACACACACACAGATATATTTATTCACAAAGAAAGTTGTCCTTGCTGTATTAATTGAATAAAATAAATTGTAAAATAGTACCATAGTGTGATCCTATTTGTTGTAGATATGTTCGGCATTTGAAGGGATAAATATTAAACATTGACAGTGTTCTGATAGTTAATCTTGATTGCCAATGTGATCGGTTCCTTTTAATTTTTCTATTGTTTTTAAGGCCATCTCTTAAGAAGATATGTGTCCTAGATCTGATCCCCAGCACTTCCAAAAAAAAATATATAGGGACAAAGTTGCATCCAAGTTAAATGGATCAAAAAAAGGTAGTATTGAATTCTTTCCATCCACATCCAGTAACGGGTATGAATGAACCTGATGCACCTTCTTGGTTTTAGTTTTCTTCTTTAAAAACTAACAGACAGATAGGCCAGGCACCAGTTGCTCACGCCTGAGATTGGGAGGATTGAGATTTGAGGCCAGCCCAAGTAAATAGTTCTCAGTACTCCATCTCCAAATAACCAGAGCAAAATGGACTTGAGGTGTGGCTTAAGCAGTAGATAGAGTGCCTGCTTTGCAAGTGCAAAGCCCTGAGTTCAAATACCAGTCCCACCAAAAACAAAAAACATCTGCAGATGATAGTGTGGCCTTCCCTTAGTGATTGCTTTGTAATCCCTTGAGGTCTTTCTTTGTTCCCACTCACTGCAGAGTGAGATATTTAACACTAGCCCACAGCAATCATCTGGATAACTTTAGGATATAGTGTCCTAGGTATCTCAAAAGTGTAAAAAAAGGCATAGGATGATGAATACAAACTTGTCCCTGGAAATATATTCCTCTTGTGATAAACTGATAAAAGACTCTTCTGATTTAAAAATGTTTCCTGAAGACCGGTGGGTGGCTCAAGTGGTAGAACATCTACCTAGCAAGCATGAGGCCCTGAATTCAAATCCCAGCATTGACAAAAAAAAGTTTTCTGAGAGTTTGCCTTGTGTGACTAATCCCTCATAAGTGGATAAAATGCCTTTAAACATTTGAGTAAATGTCCTAGGTTAGGAGTGGGGGGAAAGGGAGAAGCTAGGTCCTTGCCTTAAAGGAGCCCAAAGTCTAGTTGGAGAAGGACATATAAGTAAAGAATTGTAAAATAATGAGAAAGGTCATAACAGATTTATGAACAAGGTGTTATTAGCACTTGCAGGCCATAACTGAGTTGAGGTTTTATGGATGAATGGAAATTTGCCACCAGCTAGGGGAAGAGAGCATTGCAGGAGAAAGAAAACTGGATGCCCAGTTGAAATGGTTGTTTAGGCAGAAAGATCAGTTTCATCCTTGAAAAACTGAGACCAGATTTTTGGAAGTCACCTGTGCTCGCCACTATACCACCAACGCCACACTGAGACCAGATTTTGTACAGAAAGTACAAGGTACCACAGTCTGTCTCAGCTAACGAGCATTTACCATCAGGTTACCATTGACAAGCGAATGCTTGTCAAGGAAGCAGGTTCAGAATTAAACAGGGGGCCTTTGAATAAATTTATCAGAGATTTCCAGGGCGTCAGTGTTTGATGCTTAAACACTTGCAATGGGACTCAAGTCCTACTTAGACAAATGCTTCACTTCTCTCAAAACCTCAGGTGTTATGGTTTGGTGATGTGTTACTCAACCTGCAGAAGGCTAATCACTAATGCCTTCCAGATGGAACCATCAGTGGCTGGCAATGGAGCCTAGAGGGAAATGGTTGGACCCCAGCCTCCAATTTCTTTCTATTTCACATTTTCTTTAGGCGATCACCAATCTGAATGGTTCCCATACTGTCCAGTTCCTCCGCAGGCCGCCTTTGCCTCCACGATCCCCAGCTGCGCCTCCAGCTCTGACTGCCTAAGCCCGGCAGTGCTCCAACCCCACAGGGTCTCTGCTGCGGGAGAGGACAGAGGGGCGGGGCGATCGTGGGAGGAGGGCGGGGCATTCGCGGCGGAGGGGCGGGGCGTCCGAGGGCGGGGCGGCGGCGCAGGCGCATTGCGTACTCCGCGCCGAACTGCCGCTATGGAGAAGGCACCTTCGGACCCGGAGAGGCAGCTGCAGCCTGCGCCTGTTGAGCCGCTGGGCCACCTGGACGCTGGGCTGGAGGCTGCGGCCAGTGAGGAAGCGGAAGGGGCCCGAGAAGTGGGCTCCGGAGGCGACACGGTGAGGAGAAGGGGCGGCAGAGGCCTCGGGGCCTATGGTGGGGCCTAGTGGGCCGGGCGGCTGGGCTGGTGGGCTCCGCCTGGGTGGCCCCGAGTGAGGGGAGCGGGTGGAAAGGAGGCCACAGGCGCGTGTGCGAGAGGCCCAGTGGAAAGTGGGGGGTCCGGGGGCGGAGGGGGGGGCTAGCGCCAGGCGTTGGGGCCCCAAGAGCCGGGCTTCCTGCGGGCCTGGGGTCACGCCCGGCTGAGGAGGGGCAGTGTCACTGTCGCATCGCCCGGAGTTCTGCGCCAGGGGAAGGACGCTGGGGAGACCGGGTCGTGGGAGATTCGGGCGAGGAGCAAGTCTGGGGTCGTAAGAGGGAAACTGCGGAAAAGGTACAAATGAAGAAACCCTTATTAAACTCATTTGGCTCTATTTCTTTACTTGGGGTAAGGGCCGAATGTCCCATTGGAGACACTGCTTTGGAAACCCCTTTGGTAATTAGTGACTTTTCACTTGCTTGAGGAAAATGTATCATCTTACAGTGAAACAAGTGCTTTCATTCTTGTGTCTTTACGTGAAACGCAGGATTTGTACATCAGCATTTCAGAAGCTCATGTAGGTCTCCATGTCAGGCCACCCTGCGCAGTCTCCATTAGTGTGCAGGGCTCGGCCAGACATTTTGCTGCTTCCCGCCCCCCCCACCCCCCCACTTTGGAACATGTGTTAGTGCTAATATTAAACTGCCCATCCTTTTGATCGATGAATAAAGAAAATTTAACAGTTGCTAGCTGAATGTAACTAGAAAGACTCTTAACTTCAAGTTTAGAGACCAGCTAACCAGGAACTTCAACACAGGGGTTGTTAAAAGCTTTATTTTTACAACAGTTTTAGGTTCGCAGCAAAACTGAGAGGAAGATGCAGAGATTTCCCATGTAATCCCTCTCCTCACACATGTATAGCTTCCGGCATCATCGTCTCCCATCAGAGTGGAACGTGTTTCAGTTGATAAGCCGACCTTGACACGTCATCATCACCCAAAGTCCATAGTTTATAATTAGGGTTCACACTTGGTGCTTAACATTCTGTGAGTTTAGAAAAATATATAGTGACATATATCCACCATAGTAGTATCACACAAAATATTTTCAGAGTCCTAAAAATCCTTTGTTCTACCTGCTCATCTCTCTCCCCATCCCCCGACAACTATTAATTTTTTACTGTTTCCGGAGTAGTTTTGCCTTTTCCAGAATTTCATATAGTTGTAATCATATAGAATGTAGTCTTTTGAGACTGGCATCTTTCATTTAGGTTTTGCTTTTAAGGTTCCTCTGTGTCTTTTCAGTGCTTGATAGGTAATTTATTTTTAAAGCGTTGAACAACATCCCATTGTCTGGATGTACCACAGATTATTTAATCATTTACCTACAGAGGACATTTTGGTTACTTCCAAGTTTTGACAATTATGAATAAAGTTTCTGTAAACATCCATGTATAGGTTTTCATGGAAATAAGTTTTCAACTCCTTTGGGTAAATACCAAGGAATGTCATTGCTGGATCTTTTGAAAAGAGTATATATTTTTTGTAAGTAACTGCCTGCCAAGCTGGGTGCCAGTGGCACATGTCTGTAATCCTAGCTACTTGGGAGTCTGAGGAGAATCTCGGTTCAAGGCCAGCTAGGGCAAATAGTTTTGCTAGACTTTATCTCCAAAATAACCAGAACACAATATACCAAAGGTGCAGCTCAAGAAGTAGAGCATCTGCTTTGCAAGCACAAAACAGTTCAAACCCCAGTCCTGCAGAAAAAAAGGAAAGAAACTGCTTGTCAAACTGTTTAAAGTGACTGTACCATTTTGTCTTCCCACCTGCAGTGAATGAGAGTTGTTGCTGTACCACATCTTTGTCACATTTGATATTGTCAGCGTGTTCCAGATTTGAGCCATTCTAGTATGTGTATAGTGGTATCTCGTTTTAATTTGCATTTCCCTGATGACAAATGGTGTGTAGGGTCTTTTCGTATATTTATTTGCCATCTATATATTTGGTGAGGTGTCTTATAAGATGTTTTGCCTTCTTTGTTTTGTTTCGTTGCAGAAACCCAGGAACGAATCAGTGCCTATTTTTAAAGGATGTGTTTTCTTATTGTTGAATTTTAACTTAAAACAATTTTTTTTCTTTCTTTCTTTTTGGTATCGGGATTTGAATTCAGGCCTTGTGCTTGCTAGGCAGGTTCTCTACCATTTGAGCCACCATGAGGTGAGAAGTTTTCCACTACTGCACACTCGTAGTCATGATATGCTGCCTTGCTACAGGCCCAGAAACAGCAGAGCCAGCCAGCCATGGCCTAAAAACTTCCAAAACTGTTAGCCAAAACAAACTTTCCTCTTTTTAAGTTGACTGCCTCAGGCATTTTGTTATAGTAACAGAAAGTTGCTTAATATAATGCTTACAAAATATACTAGTTAAGCAACAGATGATTAAATCATACTCAAGATTTTTTGTGTGTGTGCGACAAGGTGAGGAGAAGGGGTGGCAGAGGCCTCGGGGGCCTTTGGTGGGGCTTAAGGTTTCAAAGGGTTTGGTTCACAGTTGTTTGGCAGAACATCATGGTGGTGGGAGTTTATGCAGGAGGATGTACCTCCTGGCAGGCAGAAAGTAGAGTCAGAGAGGGACCTGGGTTCAGGTACAATCTTCAAAGGTATTCCTCCATAACCTGCTTCCTCCACTTAGGCTCCACCTCATAAAGTTTCCTCAACTTCCCAAATGGTGCCAGTAGCTGGAAACAAGCATTCAACACATGAGCCTGTGGAGTACATTTCATATTCAAACCATTAAGCAGAATATAAAGAACCATTTCCCCTCAACTGTTTGAGAGCAGATTGCCCACAGGGTGTTGCCTCATTTCACCAAAACCTGCAGTGTGATTTCTAGGACAAATAAGTGCCAGCATCAAAAGTAGGAAAATAACATTGATAAATGAGTACTGTCTAACCTTTGTGTGTTTCACCAGTTGCACCAGTCATGTTCCTCAAGCAGAGGAGTCAGTAGAGTCTTTTACTGAATTCTTTGCTCTCCTTTAATCTGGAAAAGTTTCTCAGTTTTTACTTTTGTGACTTTAACCCTTTTAAAGATTAGAGACCAGTTTTATTTTCCTTAATTTGGGTTTACCTTACTTTTTCTCATGACTAGATCCAAGTTGTACATCTTTAGCATGAAGTGATTCCATGTTCTTCTAATTGCAATTTTCACTTCACACATGATTTTTTTTTTTTTTTGAGGTGGTCTCACTATGCTGCCCAGGCTCGCCTCACACTTGTGATCTTCCTGACGAAAACCTCCTAAGTAGCTAGGATTACAGACATGTACCAGTGTGCCCAGCTGACACAGAATTTTGATTTGTACCAGTATTCCAATCACTTGGTTCATTGCTCTCTTCCAGACAATTCCAACACAAAATTGCTTTTTCTATTTGTAGTTAATTTTGTAGGACATATTTTGAGACCATAAAAATGCCTTGTTCCTTATCATACTTTCTACTTATTTGTGTAATTTATTTATGTCAGTATAAGCTCATGGAATTTTAGGTTTTTTCTTAGTATTGTCAAGGTACACTTTATATACTATAAAATTTATCCATTGTAAATATATAATCCAGTGACTTTTAGTAAATTTACAGAGTTGTGCAACAATTACCACAATCTAGTTGAGAACATTTCTGTCATCCTTAGAAGTTCCCTTTTTATCCTTGGCAGTTCGTCATCCTCTTATTAATTTGATTTCTTGCAGTGTTAGGTTTCTGCCTAGAGTTTTTTTATTTTCGTTACTTTGTTTTTTCCTTCTTTATATATATATTTTGAGTTATCTCCATACATCTTAGTATGCTTGGGTAGTTTTGGCCTGTTATCTTCTGATTTTATTTTTTTTCTGTAATTTTCACTGTAATGATAAATTACATGTTTTTCATTTGTTTTGGTGCTGGGGTTTGAGCTCAAGGCCTCACACTTTGTAGGCAGGCCCTTCACTTGAGCCACACCCTTACTCTATAATCTTAAAAGTTGATACACTGGTTGAGCAGTTCTAATCCAAAAACTCTTAATCTGGAATGCTCCAAAATCTAAAACTCTTTGAGTGCCAACAGGATACCAGAAGTGGAAAATTCCACACCAGAGCTCTGCGGCTGGTCACATTCAAAACTCAGCTGCAGTAAAAATATTGCATTCAGTATTATACCTTCAAATTACATGTATAAAATGAATATGAAACATAAATGAATTTTATGTTTAGATGTGGGTCCCCTCAAATATACATATATATTATGTATGTGCAGATATCCCCAAATCTGAAAAGATTCTAAACATCTTGTCCTAGGCACTTGAGGTAAGTGGTACTCAACTTGAATTCAGGCTAGCATTCCTTTTGGTTTTAATCTTAAAGAGCACCACGGATGGATCGTAGTGCACTGCTGGCGTTGAGGATTTCTAGGTGAGCCATGAACTATTTGAGCCTAGGCACATAATCTCCATTATCATTGCATCCCTAATTATTGATGTGTAGATATTCAATAAATTCAGTAAATGTGTATTTCTTTTTTAAAACATTTGACGTAAGATCTCACCATGTATGTAGCCAGGCTGACATCAAACTTAGATCCTTCTGTCTCAGCCTCCCAAATGCTGGAAATTAACGTTCTTTTTATCACTATTACCTGCACTATTGCTTGGATCTTGAATATTCCCCCAAAGGTCCACGTGTTAAAGGCTTGGTCACAAGGCTGTGGTGCTATTGGGAGGTGGTAGAACTTTTAGGAGGTGGGGCCTTGTTGGAAGAAGTTAGGTCACTGGGAACATGCACTTGAAGGAGATACTGCATTGTAGTGTGCCCCTCTCCTTTCCTCCCCTCCCTTTTTTCCTGGCTTCTATAAGGTGAAGATCCTCTACCAGAACTTCTGTGTGAAGTTCCACGGTCCTCTCTCTGATGGGCTGTGCTGCCACAGGCCCAAAATAATGGCCAAGTGACAATGAAC